CTGCCTATTTCTTTAACCATTGTTATACCACTCTATCAGATCAGATATAATGTTTGAAGCGTCATTCCATTTTACTTTATCTTCGAAATACAAACAAATGCTAGTGGTATCAGGCCACGAGTATTACCTTAAACGAAAAAACAAGACAACAACAAATTGGAACTGCTCAAAGTACCAAACCCATAAATGCCGCGCAACAGCAATTACGGATGGAGAAAACTTTATTGAATCAAAGGGATGCGGCATCATCGGGTTTGGCCAGAACAACAAATGCTGTAGAGGGCTGGCATTATGGCATACAGTCATACTTCAGTGGATCGCATCCCAGTATATGGAAAGTGATTGCAAATTTGCAAAAAGACGCTTCCGTCCAAAAACTTAATTTCTATAACGCCTCGAGTGGTCACCAATTTACAAAAAAGAAAAAATACCGGGTGCTCAACGAAAAAGTGCAGAATATTATGCATTTTTACGAAGAAAAAACTGATATGCATTTCTTTCGCGCTATGGCGAACTTGAGTTAAATATTTGCTATTTAATCTATATTGCCAAGCAATAAAATTTTTTCCAAGTTTAATTATTTTCCTTGATTTTTCAAAATTGAGCTAGAGTCGATTTGAAACCGGCAAAATAATGAATACATACAAGGTGTTGACTTTTCTTTTCCCTCCGCCCAACCCTCTAAGGTTAACCCATTTATTGTACCCTTGATATACCCGTTATCATATTTACCCGAAATTAAACTTTTTTTGGGAAAATTGGAAATTTTTTTGTGCCGCCAGGGATTCGCTCCTTTGATCTCTAGATTTTGAGACTAACGCTTTAACCACTACACCATGAGGCCTTTGGTTGTCATCCGAATTATTCTTCCAATTTTGGCTCTTTGATCTTTAATTAAGCCCATGTTTGAGTTTTCAAAGCGTAGATCTATTCTATCGGCGCCAAAAGATCAAGGTCAAGAAATTCAAATGTTTTGTATATGCACCAATTTGAATCATGTCGGTCGGATTCGTTTTCAAGTTCATATCAAAGTCTAGACTATCGGCAAGGTCATTTCTGTTCAAATCTAAAACGCATTTAGCAGCGTGCATGTTAACTCATTTTGGTTCGCAACATTTTTCGCAATTAAAGCTTTGATGTTTACCGACGATATGGTTCCGAATCCTTTTCAAGTAACTTTCACTTTGATTCTAACAATTGGTTTTAAAAAGGGGTTAAATTGTATTGGGGTTATCTGATTTTGGGGTTATATGAGAGGGGGTTAAGAAAAAGGGGGTGATAAGCTTGGGAACCCCAACAGACAGAGTTGGAAACGAGACAATGAACACACTTTTGGTATGCAATATAAGCACAAAAGCATAAAGTCGGCATACAAAAACCACCCTCAAAAAACTACTTTTTAATGATAGATGGTAGCATTTTGAAAAACCTTCTAGAAATTAAAGAGTCTAATGTTGATGATTACATACATATGCTAAGAGATCTGTATGTTTCCGATGGTGAAAAACTACTAGGTCTCTTTTTGTGACTTTTTGCTAATTAGTTATATTGAAAGATAAAAAACAATAGAAGAATTATTACACAGGTACAAAGCTTCGCTTCGCAAACACTTGCGAGAACACGACAAAAAGCAGCTCTATTAATTGCAATAGTAGAAATAAAAAATATGCCTCAAACTATTTTAAAAAAAAATCAACTACGTCTGAGATTCGCACCTGCGACCTAGAGAGTAAGAGTGTCACACACTAACCATTTAGCCACGGACGCTTAATGGGCAACAAACAATAGCCACAAATAAGCAAAAGAACAGCTGCTATGCAATTTTCAATGCTACAGTGAAAAATCCACATAGGTGAACACTTTTATTTGCGAATTAGGTTAGGGAAAAGGTTCGTAATAACACACTAAGCTGATCGGAAGTGTAATTAAGTAGAAGCAGACTTATTTTTCGAAAAACCCCAACTTTTGATTTTCAAGGAAAAAACAGATGTCCTTAAAGTTATTGACTTTTTTGATAAAATTAACCCAATTTAAGAAAACTAGATCAATATGTAAATTTGTTATTTTGTTGGAAAATCTCAATTAAATTCCAGTTTCGAAACTGCAATTTGTTCACGTTTATCGTGACTTTTACAATTTGCAGTTCGATAGTGGAGTTTGTCATTCTTTTAACAATGAAAATGAAGTGAATTTACAAAAAAATCAACAGTCAAACCGCGAAAAATCGAATTTCTCTGAAAAAATCATTACGATCTATATAAGAGTTTCAACTATGTTTATTGACTCTAAACAACAATCTATAAGATTTTTCCTGAAAAAAATCATCACCATCTATGAAATAGTAGTTTGAACTACGTTTATTGACTCTTAACAACAGCTTTAGTTTTGGTTTATACTGGTGAGATAGTACAAAAAAGCATGCAACAAACCTAATCTTAATCAAAACATTCTTTTGAAAAAACGCCTATCATTAAGTAGCTTTTGTGATCAGAAGAGAGCTCTCAAAATAAATCGAAATTTTGAAAGAAAGCGGTTCGCTCATTGTCACTCTGAGCACAAAATTGAACAAGAACTAGTGAAAGAAAGGTCAAAACAGCGCTATTGCAAGGTAAGTGTGTTAATAGCAGTTGCCATGCTACTTGAGAGCCTATTGAAATTTCAACACAGAACTTTTTATTATCTGAAAACGATTGGGGCAATGGTTAATTCTTTTGGACAGTATTGGATTTAGGGGAGGGACACCCGCCCGCCCCCTTAGGGATTCGACCCCCTGCCGACCCAGAGGTTCTCGTCCCCCCTTTGTACTATTTTGAGATATCTTTTTTTTGTTGAGGTTACCTAAAATTATAGTCTGAAGGCGCCTTTGGTGTCAATATACTTTTATTTTGAGGGGGGGCGCCAAAAAACGCGATTTTTCTGTTCAAAACTTACAGTGGCTTTCTTAGTGATTTGGGAGAGCTCGGAAAATCAATTTGGCCGACCTAAAAGAAAAAGTCGACATAATTTTTGAATTTCTTTTGAAAATCCAACCACCCTCGAGAAAATCCTAGATCCACCCCTGCTCATGGATATAAAAACCAATACTCTAGGGTCCAAAAAAAATAAATGAAATCAAAATATGTGTTCAGAAAAATACCTTTCTAATTTTATCGTGCACGTTCATAAAAATTATCTCTATCTTGTTACGAAGAAAAAATAATTTATAGCTAAATGGAGCAAGAAAAATGTCAAGATCTGGAAATAGACAAAAAATTTCAATTTTTCGAAGGAAAAAATATATCACCGGTTCTTTTCCAGTTCTCCCTTCTGATTTTTTTCTAAAATTCAATATATAAAGATCTATTTTAAAATGACTTTTCATATTAAAAACTACATCAAAACGAGTCAACAACATTTTTACAACTTTTCTTACAAGCAAATTGCAATTCGAACAATTTTGGAACGGCTTTGTTGTAAATTTACGAGGGGAAGGGGAACTGAAAAAGAGCCAAATTACCTTAGGCTCTTTTGAACTTCACTAATCTTTTATGATTGACAATTTTTGATAGCATTAACCTACTTGAACACTTGGCTAATAGAAATAGGTATTTTTTAATTCTGCTGGGAAATTAAAAAAACGTTTTTTTTTCTCGCGTATTTAGCTCTTTTTATTGCAGAACGTAATTTGCGTTCCTTCCAACAAATACATTTGAAGCCAATAAAAACAAATACACATTAAAACGTCAAAAATATAGGCTTTTATGATCAAATCCCTTCCCCGTAACTCGAGTGGGATTGGTCAATGGGTACATGATGCATGCTTATAACAATTGATAAAAGTTTCAAATGGATGAAATTTGCTCAAGAATGTGGAACAATCCTTATTCGTTAAGAACTACTCGTCAGAAACAATGGTGTCGTAAAGGAACACTTTTTGGCCCCAACTCTAACGTGACACGTTGTTCTCCAAACACTGATCGCTCAAACAAAAATCAAACCAAGAAGAAATGCGAAGCTTAGCACAAATTATGAAACAAAAACGAAACCTAAACTAAAAAAATTTTTAACAAGGACAGTTGGCTGCTATCAGAATAGCAAAGACTGACAACAGTTAAAACAGACCCAAAGGTGGAGTTGGCCTTCCTTTCAACAAAGAAAATGAACTGAACTGAAGAGATCAGAAGTCAGACCGCGAAACAATTAACTTGAGCCTGTACATAAAAAATCATCTCGACCTATAACTCTTTAAAAATGTAACAAAAAAGAATTAGAGTTGGGAGGCCAGCATCTAAATTATTCAGACCAGTTTTTCTTGGCATAGAGTTTTTGATTTTTTTGAGAATTCAAATCATGACCAATTGAGCTTTAAAAACATAGCCAACTGACAGTTGGAAAAGAGTAATGAGCGCAAGGAAAAAAACCTTCAACTTCTGAATTTCGAAGAAAAAAAAATAGATGGCCTAGACACTTTTTGAATTTGTTGAACAATTTACGATGGACACTTTTTTGTTAAAACTAACCCAATTTGAGAAAACTGGATCAACAGTTGGAACGGCGCAATTTCAATTACTGTTACCGAAGAGAGCATGATTGCCTTCTATTTGGTGAACGATTTGAAAGTGAGCTGGAAAGAAATGTAAAACCTAACTTAAAAGGAGTTCAAAATGAGAGATGAATCAAAAGTGACTCAATGTAGCCAGGTAGCTAACCTTACTTCGAGATTAAAGAATACCAACAAATTGAACACCAGATTGAACATATTTTGAACATTTCAAAATGATAAGCCATAATGGGTCATTTCTAGCAGCGCGGCAATGTTAAAAGGTACAGAAAAAACTAGACGGAAATCGTGTAATTCTATTTATTGTCCAATGTCAAAAATATTAATATATTTAAAAGGTTTATCCAAAAAACATACGCCGTTTTTAAAAAGGCTTGTTTGGAACAAATTACCATATAAATTACAGCTAAGGCACAAAAAAATTTGGACGCGAGGTAAATCTGACTGTTTCTAGGAAAAACAAAGCAAAACATTTTGCAATTGAATTCTGTGGTTCAAATAAATTAACTATGTTTCAAACAATAATCTCATTATTTCGTACAGTTAGCAATCAGAGATATGTAAGTAAGTCGAGTACTATTTAGAATAGAGTCTGAGATTGAGAAAATGAAATAAATTCAACACTAAGCAAGCTGAAAATAAATAATTGATCTAATTTAAACCGGCTAATGAGGCAAATAAGCAGAGTCCCGTCTGGGAGATGATTCGGGTGAAATAATTATCTGCGTTATGCTGTGTAGCTTTTTTTTTCAAATTGGGTTCGGGGGCATCGGTCGCCTTGGCAATGGGGGAAGCTGACGGTTGCTAGGAGAGTGGAATCTCTTGGTGAATGCCATTTCCACATCAGGGTCCAGACTAAAAGAAAACAATATATTGTTTGATCGATTGTTTTAAAACACACTTTTAAGATTCAGAATTAAAAATAGTGCTATCAAACAAAAATTAGTTTCTTTTTTTTTCAGTCATGTATTTTACCAAGTACTAGTCAACACATTCATAGAGAATCAAGTCTCCTCAGCACAGCTAGTTTTTAAATCATATTACCAATTCCTGATTTCATATTTTCATACTTTTTACCTGAGTGGGAATAAACCTGCCAAAGTAAAAACCAGCTAAAAGTTACGTAATTGAATGAAACTAATTGACTTATATAAATGTTACATAACTGTGACATAACTATAACGTAAGTTGCGCATTTTTGGCTAGTTTATCTGGTAGCTGGCTTTTACTTGGGTTGGTTTATATACCACCGTTTTACAAATTGATTCAGTCAGAGAAAAAAGAAACAACACAGATTGTCAAACAGATTAAGAGTAGATTTTATCACATCAGAATCAACCGAGTTAGCAATATTAAGAGTAGATTTAAACATACATCAATGCTTAGACTCAAATCACTACTAGTAACTTGATTCAAGTTTAGAATTTTCTCATTCAAAATCAGGAAAAAATAGATGTCAATTAAGAAAACAATCAACGGTGAAGCAGACAGCCAACAAACACACACTACATAGATCACCCTTTACCTCTACTTCAGTCATGGTCATGCAATTGTAAGATAGGAAGCTGTTACTTCTACAGATTCAATTTGTCTACTAGGCATCTATTACATTCATAAGAGCTGACGTCGAGCTAGTGCAACTATTGCTTATGAAACTGTTGCTGCGACTTGGCATCAAGCCACCATGGCCTAGTTGATCCCCCTCCTTTGCTCCTCTTGTGGCGGGGTAGGGGGACGTTGCATCCCCCCGTTCGATGCTACCCAATCTGCGCCGCCTGCACCTTCAAATATCAATCATTCCTCGAATCGATAAACAAGCAAAAGAAGACAACAGCCCACGTTTGGATTTCATTAGATAAGTAAAAAATGAAACAGCTCCTAATTAGGCGACCCCATTATCTTAACTAATAACTTAGAAAAACGTAATAAGCACTTTTTGGGGTTTCCCTCGAATCCTTTTTCTTACACGGAGGCGAAGCTGCACTTCGCAAACAAGCGAGAAAACGGCCAAAATGCACTAAGGCACTTGACCCTTAGTGCATTTGTTGGCCGTTTTTTCGCTTGTTTGTTGAAAAAAAATGGAAGTAAAAATAATCAAACTTCTGCTATGTGCCAGAATCGAACTACCGACCGCGAGATGAAGATTCAAACGTCCTAGCCTATGGGCCATGGCTAAAACTAACAACCAAAAAACCGGATACAAAGATATGAGGTTATACAGCAAAAGCAAACTAGATATAATGATATTGCAGCAAAACGCCACCACATAAATGAGCTCTTTAATTTGCGACTCGGTTTGGAAGAAATAAACTTTAAAAAAGAATACTACGCTCGTTTGGGTAATATTATGTAAAAAACACATAATATTTTTTTTACATAATATTACCCAATATTACACTACGCTCGTTTGGGTAATATTATGTAAACTCCGACAGTCCTTTTATGTCTAACACATTTTTTAGTAGCTTTCTTAAATTCCCTCACACGCTATAAAGTGATGCATTTACTATCTATTAATATATTAATAAGACCAAAAAATTTGCCTCCGTTTAATTTGGAACAGTTTCGAGTCTGATTAAAATGCCGCTTTCACGTTTAGGCGTGAAAAATAACGCGTGTTCCCGAAATGCTAATTTTCAAACCCCAATAACTTACCAAAATGAACACAGTCAACACAAAGTCGCAAAAGTTCAACTAAATAAAAAAGACCGACATGATTGATTTTAATGAGTTTCGTAATTTAAAAAAATATGCACCTTTTAATTTTATGAATCTTTTATGATTGATATGTTTTTGATGCAGCTTACTACCTTAATAACACTGGATAAATATATATTTTGTTTTATCGTTCCTCTGGGAAAACGTAAAACAAAATAGCATTTGAGAAAATAACATTAATTCACAATTTTTGGCAATTTTGTAATCTGAGAGCTGAATTTACGTTCTTTTTAGCAAATTAATTTGGTTTGAACTTAAATATGTTGACACCTGATTTAAACTGAGATAAATTAAAGTCAAAACCTCGATAAAACTCAATTCGAGCGTGAAATAAGACTTGAAAAAAAAACAACATAGCCAACAGTCAGTTGGAAGTGAGTCATGAACGCAGAGAAATAGAAAAAAAACTGACTTGTTTTTGAAAAAACAATAAATTACGAGATTCAAAGAAAAAAAATTACGGCCTTACAGCTCTTTGAATTCCAAGAACAATTTACTATTGACTCTTCTAGACAAAATTAACCCAATTTGAGAAAACTGGATCAATAGGTAATTTAATTCCACTTTCGAATCTAGAAGTTTTTTTTCTAAACGTCTTTTCGAATTTTTTTTTGCTTTTAACGAGACAAATGAATTGAACTTAAAAAGAAATCAAAATCAAACCTCAAAAAATCAAATTTAAGAGTGAAAAAATTTCAAAACTTTTCCAGAAAAAATCACAAGACCTTTATAAAAGTATTCACTACACTCATGACTCTTAACAAAAAACCCTGAATGGCCTAATTAGGCTTCTTCACTACCTTTGATGACACTCATTCACAGTAAAAATATCTTTTTAAGCTTGAGCTCAATGCTTTTAAGGTCAGATTTAAAAAAATTTTGTTCCAATTGGCTAGTTAAGAAGTCGAAATTGCTTGTAGCAAGGCGAAGCTCTCGAAGTTCCCACTGCCTGTTAACTTTTGGTTACAAATTTTGTCACAGAAGCAAAGAGGAGCTTCGCGCCACTTGCGATACAACGCAAAGCAACAATGGCCGCTAGACAAAAAAATGTACCGAAAGCCATCTATAATCTTTTTTAACGTTTGTACCGAATGTAGTTCAACAGGCTACGTTAATTACAAAGTGATAAATTTTGACAAATCAACTATAACTTGACAATAGGACCAACAAGATTGCCTCCATTAATTTGGAATGATTTCTGAGCCACTAACGCGTTAAATATTTCAAAACATCTCGCGTAATCTTTCTCAATCTACCAGTTTACAAATTCTGTTCGAAAAAGATTATCGAAAAGGTCCGAATTGGAATGATAAAAAAACCACCCTAAGCTCTGTCACTTTTTTTAAAATTCGAACTCAAAATGCTGAAATCTGCTTTTTGACACTCTTAGTGGTCAGAACAACTCGCTCTGTTTCAACAATTATTTTACAATCATGGGAAATTGCAACTCCTAGTTTCTAAGCAATGAAATGACTTGTGTTTTTTTTCTCTAAAACAACTTAAGATTCACGGTTGAAACTTGGACATATGATGGATGGAACGGTTTTTAATAATATAGGCGAATGAAAAACAATTAAAAATTGTTTCCAAGGCGTGATTTCGCCATTAAGTCAAAGGGTGTCGGAAAGGGGTTCCATTTGCCAAAAATTACCCGTTAACAGCAAAGCAGTTTGTATTTTTGGACTTAAATGCATTCTTTGGAAAGAGTAGAATCAAAACTATGTTACTTTTCTCATAGAAAAGAATTAAAAGATTTGTTAAGCTTTCATACAGATCCAAAATGTGAATCAAATTTCATCGTACCTCACTAGTTTTCTGTATTCCTTCTTAAGTAAGGAAAAAGCTATATGAGGGCCTGACTTAGATTCTAAGCTTTAACGAATAATAGTCAGTCCCAAAATATAAACTTCTTCTGCTGTTTACGGGGCCTTTTGGCAATAAGAACACTTTTCCGACACCATCTGTTTAAATGACCAAACGACGCCTTGAAAACTTCATTTCACGGTTTTTTATCCGACTATATTCTAAAAAACAGTTAAATCCATCAGATGTCAAAATTTCAACCGAAAATTTACAGTAGTTGTAACGAAAAAAGGACAAAAGTGAAAAAGTTGACGGTGATTTTTTACATCTGACTTTTTACATATGAATGAACAAGTTTGAGGAGCCCTTTTGACCATTCTTATTTCATTTTCTGAGCTACAACATGATAAAAATGATTTCGTTCGATCACATACTATTGCGGTTTGAATTTGATAGTTAGTTTATGACCGCGTCGACATTACAAACATCGCTTTCAAAACATGTTTACCCGTGCGTTACCATATTATACAATGGGGATCCAAAACAAAACAATTGTGCAGTTAATCATGCGTCAGTTTTGTGTTTTTATTTCATGGGACATATCTACAAGCACTATGAAGATAGTAATGGCAAAAAAATGTTATAGTAACGTAGCGATGCAATTTTTGAACAGAGTAGTAGCAACAATAAACAACATAAACGAACAACGTCTGATGCGAATTACCTGTTAGGTTGACTTGACTTGGTCAGCTAGTGCAAAATGATTGGGCTTCATTATTCCGTTGTTGAAACGAAACTCAGTCAATTTTGTTAAATTAAGAAAAGACGGAAAGATTTCCATGTCATGTTTTGGCGATTCTATCTTGAACGCCACCGTGATAAACTTTATCAATAAGATGACCATTGAACTGTATAAAAAAAACTTCAGGCAGTTTCTCTTGAACTCAGACCAAGACTATCTGTTAAACTTTGGATTTTTCATGCAAAACGGCTTAATTGGCTTCAAAATCTTCCTAACGTTTCAAAGATTTGATGTTCAGATGTATCTAAAATCTATCTTCAACGACTGCTACAAATGATACCCTCTTTTCTCGAAATGAAATAAGCTAAATAAGATCCACTATGTTTTGCCTCTGAATCGAATGAAATAAAAAAAGCGTGATAATGTAAATAAGCGAGGCAACTACTCACTGCGAGTTTGTTGATGTAGTGTTAGGGGTTTTTTCAAACTTGTCAGACTGTTGTTGGTTATTGTCGTCTATGGATGAGAACTTCAGAGGAGGTTCATTTTTCCCAAACCGTTTGCAGTTCCTGGGAGATATGCCCCTTCTGACACAGTCTTCGAGAGAGGGATAGAAGTGGATTTTAAGGCTGAAATGCAAGACAGATTCTCAAATGGGAGATAAAAAAGTTCGGTTGAATGTCGCTTCTTTGGCATTCACATGTCTCAAAGTAATACTCAAAGAAGCAAAAAATAACATCGAAAAAACCGCGAGATCCTTTTTTGCATGAATAGCCGAAAAAATCTTAAACTTGACTTAATTTAGAAGATATATGAAAATGTGTGAAAAGATATATAACTTCATTTTCTTTACATTTCAATTACACCAAGGACATACAAGTCAGCTCCACGAACTGCCCACCCTGCTACAGGAACAAAAGGTCAACATTTAACCACACATCTGAATAAAATAAACCTATTCATTTCAGAAACTATTTTAAAAAAGTTACAATAGTTACACGGCAAATAGTTACAATTTCAAATGAGAGAATAGGCACTAACCATTTGTAGGCAATATCTCTGTACAAGGCAACTACAGTGGCTAAAATGACTGTCATCCAGAAATATGCAGAGGGCACCAGCATTTGGAAGAAGCCGTAGGTGGCTTGCAGACTGGACGCCATGAGGTAACTGGAAAACACGAACCAGCCAGTCCAGGCCACTATTCCAAAGAGGACTACCAGGGCTATTGTGAGGGCGAAGAAGGTGTTGGTCACCAGGACTAGTTTGCATGTTACTACTAGTATCACAGCTGTGTAGATCACTTCTCCGAATGAGAGAATGCCTAAATCGAACACATACAAGAGTGTGAAAATCATTAGAGCGTTAAATTCTTAAGAACATTCGAGATATTATGTTCCATTTTCATATTTGCACTAATTTTCGGGCGATGAGTTGGTGCCTTATCCCATCCGCCGGTAATTAACTGAGCCCGTAAAAATAGAATTTGGGTTATGAATTTAAAAAGCTTCAATTAGCGCCTCTCTCCTGCTGAATACGTCAAAATATTCGAAAAAATCTAAAACATGGATGTATTTTATCAAAAAGTGCGAACATTTATTCAAAAATTAGCATTCACCTGTTGCGTGGGCATCTTGGAGTACTGTGTCACCTCCCGTGGCTGCCAAACAGATGAGAAATATGAAAAGAGAGTGCGCAAGTGCATTGAGAGCCCACATCCAGAACACCTGAAACACACAGACATACTCAAGCTCATCAACAGAGACTGAAAATTACAACAAAAAGTACCAATAAAATTGAACACAGTTAATGGAAACTTGATTATGCATAAGCAAAACGTCCAACATAGGAGGTGTTTGCTTTCAGTTCTTTAAGTGGAATTGCTGTTGATCACTCAATTAGGAATCTAAAATCAAGTATTCAAGTTAATTTTTGAATATGAAAAACGTTGCTCCACCAATGTTCCAACCTGAAAACACATCATAAGGGCTAAACAAAATTTGAAGTCGATTTGATAAAAAGCCATCCCAGTCCTTGAAAAAAAGCTGAAAGAAAAAGGAACTTATAATTTAAACCGAGTTTAGAGCGCTTCTTTTAAACTCATTTCCCTAATTCATAGGATTTTATATTGATGGCAATTAAATTGTGAAAATCTATTGCATGATTTTTCAAAAATATTTAAATCGATTTTGGCCAATTTTGCCATAGCACTTCATTGTCATTTTATGGCACCTCAAAAATGTAGACTATATAGAAACTATATTTAAAATAGTAAGTGACAGGAGTTCAAAAGAGCCTTCAAGTGAGGTTATGAAATAAAGCAGGTCAGTCAAGTCTTGATGTTCTTAAAACTAATACGATTGAAAAACTAGTTAAATGGAGCGTATCATACGATTGATTACCAGCATTTGAAATTATGAAAGGTTTAAAAACGTTGAGACAGATGCTTGCCTGCCTCACTGCCTTTAATTTCCATTAAAACAAAGTTCTACTTTAAATTCGGACTTTTTTTCGATAAAATAGGGCCATTAAATTTAGTACGAATTATCTAATGTGCATGAGAAACACAGAACTAATCTTTAGAATACGTCTGAATACGTCAAAATATTCGAAAAAATCTGAAACATGGATTTATTTTGACAAAAAGTGCGATGATCAATTATATATAAATCATACTACATGGATGCACCTGCCTGAAAACAATATATCTTTCAATACAAAAACAACTATGGTTTAATTTAATAACCTTAGCGTTGAACTTGAGCGAGTACTGGGAAGTCCTGTAGAGGAATACATTTTTCATCATCTGCTCCTCTGTCACTGGTCTGTCCAGCAGTCCCAGACTCATCAGAGGCAGGGAGGTGAACAATATGTTGTACAGAGACAGAGTCACTTTGTCAAACACGGACTGGCCAGTGAAGCCACAGGTGAACTGGTACCAGAACTACACAACAAACAAACAAACAGACACAAAATTAGACAACAGGCAAAAATTATGTTGTCAGACTAAGACTTGAGGAAAAAATTAAAAGTAGACCAAACTTCGTATGTTATTCGAATATTGAAAACACTTCGGTATTAAGCTTTAGCATCTTACAATTCTGCTTCCATTGCATATCAAATTAAGGTAGCATCTTCACTGCATTTTGTGCTGAACAAGCTACTATAGTGCTGAATTAAAACAACCTGATCAAATGAACTAAAACAGAAATTTACGCTCGTTTTTCTCAATTTTGGTTATATTTGGAAATTCACCTGCTTTTTATGATGCAATTTGTTTCTGCGAAAGTTTGATTTTAAATTACACCCTTAAAACTGGTCAATTCATTTGGTTCAATGTTAGGTAGGTAAACAGGGTCAATTGATTCAAGAATTAATAGAATCGAATTTTAAATCAAAATTTAAAGACAATTATTCGTTAAATCGCACAGCTTCAAAATTATCTATCGAAAAGCGCACAAATCTTGGTCATACCCAGTTCGTACAGATACAAATTGGCAAAAATAAAAGGGTCAAATAGCAGACTACGAAGTAGTGGACTCACATTGATGAAGTAGAGGGTGATGTTTTTGTAAAATGAGTAGAGGATGGTCTTGGACACTCTCTGGTATGAGAAAGCCCCATGGATGAAGAGGAGGCGACTGAGGAAACAGAATTGGGCTATGGAGTAGTCACTGGCCAAAACTGCTTGCAGACCCTCTTCGCCCTACATTCACAAACCAATACAACAAAATCACACTTGCAGTTGCAACACACCAACAATATTTATCATCTAGAAGTCTTTGGCTAAATTAAGCACCACAACTTCCAATTCACAAATGCTTCAATTAGTCGCTGGACGTTAATCAAGTCGACTTATTACCCTGAAATCACTGCACAAAACACAGACCGGTTGGTTTAGTGGTTAACGCATTGGACTGAAGCCCCGGGTTCGAATACCAGTTGGAGCCAGATATTTTTCTCCAAGCAGTTGAATCTGTTGTATCTACCACCTATTGTATTATATCACTATCAATTTTAAACCACGCAGTCGAAGCCAAGCTTCCCATCACTTCCGATACAAAAATATATTCCATCGTTCAAACCATAATTTCAGATCTCAATAAGAAGGAAAATTGAACTTCTTGAACACGAGAAAAATTGAAGAGAACCTTCAGCCGACAAAACGGATCTTTTTTTAGTTCGACCAAATTGATTTTTTGAGCTCACGCAAATCACGATAAGGACCCAATTTTTACCAAATTTTCTGCGCTGCTGGCAAATTAAAAAAAAAACAGGCCAAAAAAGGCGTTCTTAGGTACTTTTGACTAAAAACTCGCGGTTTTTCGGCGCGCGCTCCTCACTCAAACTTATTTGGCGCCTAATGCGCCTTTACATTTTTTTGGGTCATTCAGCCAAAAAGGGATATCTCAAAACAGTACAAAGGGGACCCCACCCCCTAAATCCACGGTGCGCCTAACTAATAAAAAAACGTATGTACACAGCCCCACCAACAGATTTTTAACCTCTTCGTACGATAAGTATACAAAGTGACATATTTCTCAGCTAGTAACACAATAATGAGAACAAATAGCCTTTCATTTTGGAAAGATTTGGAGACGGACTAACTCGCCACCTACGTTACGCATTGAAAAAATGGCAAATAAGTATTCCACATTGCTAAAACTGGCAACGCGGATGCATATTTTTTTAAATGTCGAGCTCAGTATATCCATATACTTCAGGTTAAATTTAAAAAAAAAGAAATAGAACAACTTGTATTAAAATCCTCAACATCGATTATGAACTAGCAATCGATTATATTCAACTCAACTAAATTTAAGACAAACAGGCCGAGAAACAAAGTACATAATACCCAGCGTCAAATTCACTGAGAAAAAATTTACATAGCGGAATATAAGCCGACAATGTCAACAAAGTCGGAAAACAGTGTCCCAGAAAAATTCGTTTCAACCAAAATTTTAACAACCCACTTTGTTACGTCCCGCCAAAGCACAAAAACGCATAAAATTATATTTTTAAACAACGTACAACAGCCAATACAACAGCCACCGAAACCATTATAATAACGGAAGTTAAACGAAATCTTGAAGCTATTTATCTGCGTCTTTACTAATGTTAGATATAGCACTCTAAAAAAATGAAACTTCCAGATCTTATACGCAAAGTCCATGCTTTGGAAAGTACGTCGACCAAAACAAAGCAAATGAGCGATAGCCAGACAACTCCCGAAAAATCAAATTCAAGATGTAGAAAAACATAGCAACAGACAGTTGCAAAAGAGTCAATGAAAGCAAGGAAACAAAAAGACTGAATTTCAAAGTAAAAAATTTATGGACTTGAAGCTCTTTGAATTTCAAGAATAATTCATGATCGATTGTTTTTATAGAACTTACTCAATTTGAGGAAACTGGATTAATAAATATTTTTTTTTATTTCGCTGGGAAATCTTAAAAAAATCCACTTTCGAAAAAAGATTTTGCGTTTTTGCGCTCTTTAAAATTTCAACAGTAGAGTTAGCGGTTCCTTTTAGTAAGGAAATGAACTGAACTTAAAGCGAAAAATCAAAAGTCAAAATTCGAAAATCAAATTTTGACCTTAAAAAAATTTTCATCAACTCTATTAAGCCAACCGGGACTAGAACCCCAGACATTAGGCTCGCAAGGCACGCACTTTCGAACTAGGCCAAATAAGAAGGTCTTGGAGTGATGTTTCACCATATAGCAGGGTCAATTTCTAACAGATTTGTAAGAAAAATTAATAGTTGGAAAAATGTCTGGACCCGTATGCCAAATCAAATGCTCTCGCAAGTGAAACTGGTAGGTTAGCTTTACTTTCTAGAAAGTTTTCAAAACTCAAGATCTAATGAACACAAACGTTTCGGAGAAAACCTTTACTTTGAAAAGTCAAAACCAACAAAACAATCATTATGACCAGTATTATTAGTAAAGCACAATTGCATTTTATTAAAACCGATTTATCTGCTCGTTCGACTTGAAGTCGATAACAAACTCTTGAGTATAGAAAAGCACAAATTTAAACCCATTCGCTGGCGTCACTTGATGTGGGCATGCAGAGCACCTTAAGGGAAATTTTTGAAAGGGAATAATATATACATTTAAATTTTAAGCTGAACAAAAACTATGTCACTCTAATCAGCTAAATTATTGATGATTTATTTTAGCTTTTGTTCAGCTTATTAAATGCGTTTAGCTAAAAAAAAAGATAACAATCTAAAAATATTATTTGGCATGAATAAACGATTTCGAGCTAAATTTATGCGAGTTGGCTTTGTTATCAGCTGAAGATTGTCGAAGACTTTCGTGTTTGTTGATAGCCCACCTCGATGATTTGTTTGACAACGACAACGTTTTATTTTCTCAGTTTTGGTCAACACTGCTACAAAATGCTACATGCTTTTTTGACGAGCTCAGTTTTTTCGGTTCCAATCGTTTTCAGCGACTTCATCTCAGTATCGTTCAAAATAAGCCTGGAACTAATAGGCCACTGGCAGTTCTTCTTCAGGTAGGAAATTAAATGCACTGTCCTAAAACTGACTGTCGGCTTCATATAAATGATCTGATCACTTGACGAATCGAACTGCCGGCACTCCATGCTTCTAATTAATTCAACACCAAGCGCTTCGATTAATTCAGAGTTGTTTCCTAACCAATCCTGAAGGACATTTGGCGTTGTAACTCCAGGCTTAACCAGAATACATACTACCAACAGTGTTGGCTGCAAAAAAAGAACCATCTTTAAATAGTCCAAACCTTTTGAACCCTCAAAGATGTTGCAATCTATAGTGACCGCTAACAATGAAAATTGGAAACTACTCCAAATAATGGACGCAGATACCAATGCTTCGTCATTATAACTCGTATGAATATGATCATCTGTAATCAAAAGAAACTTCAATTGACAACATCGCGACAAAATTGGCAACATATCGAGTTTAATGTGCATAGATGAACATTTTTGAGGCAAAATGGCAAGCGCATCTTTCAAATTTCTCTTCTCTTCCAAAACTAACTTCGACATATCAAGGTTTCTCAAATTTGGAAAACACTGGCATATAGCCAGAAAATCCGACTTTTGACCACTCTCGAACCTCAAGTCATAGACATTTATAAACTTCGGCAAACTCATTCCGCTGGATCCACCAATGCTGATACTCTGCGCTGAAATATCAGTTACTATGGAAGGATTTCTTATATCCCTCAAATCAATACTATCTTCGGCCAAGTTGATGCACTCAAGATTAGTGAATGAATTGAGAACTCCCAGCTTGTTGTCTTTTGTGCTTGCACCATGGATAAAGATTTTTGTGAGAAGAGAGTAGTAAGGATAGGAGACGAGGAATTCGCAATTTCTAATATCTTCGGCTCGATGGCAAAGAACATCAAGAAATAACCGATCAGTCAGTTGCGAACATGTGCAAATCAGTGTCTTCGTTTGTTCAGACAATAAACTGCTGCTTATAGTAAGTAGACGAATCATAACGTCGGTACCACGAATCCAGTGAGGGTTCTCGTTCAGTAAACAAATAAAATGATCGAAATCTGCGACATCTATATCAACCACACCTGGAATTCCAATGCTTTCAAGTATCCAGTTACACTTGTGTTTATCCGCATATCGCAGTAGACGTCTCAGAGCTCCACTACTTGAAAGAGCAGTAGCATTTATGAGGGCTTGAAACTTAAGACGAGATCGATTCACGATTTTGTTCAAGTATAAACAGCACTGGCTCAATGCATGAACTTCTTTGCCGAAATTCCATTCATTGATCAATTGAATACGCGACGGTGCCACATATAAGATAATATTTTCCAAAACATTTTCGGGAAGATCCAACAATGAGGTTTTTTCTAACTTGCAGCGACTCATTTTTTATGTTAATTGTCCAGAACTGATTTCAAATCACACCAACACAGCCGTTGAATCGTTAATAATTGATATCCAGTTCTTTGCAATTTCTGTTTCTAAATTCGATTCATAAGGCCATTTAGAATGTAAAAAATCGAGGACAAAAATGAAACGCAAATTTAAGTTTTTGATCTCTAAAATGCTTATTTACAACTTTCAACTGGGACAAATTTTACTTTAAATTCCAGCAAAGAGGTAACAGGGACTGAGAAATGCTTTTAATTACACTAATAAGTAGAAGTATTATGATTTGGTTTTAGGGACTTCACAGTGATCTCAAGGCCTAATCGCCCGGTCTCACAACCTGCAGTAAACTTTCCTGCTAAACACTCTCTCCAATAAGCATCAAAAACTTTAAGGCGTGAATTTTGCAGAGTGACATCTTTCCTAAACTCAGCTTAGGTTTCACCCCGATAGCTTCAGATCGTGCAATAGATACTCTGCCATGGCAGTGATTGGGTGTGAGGATGAGATCTCTCTTGACCTCTAGCTTCATGTATAGCACAGCTTAACCAATTTTGGCCGCAACTGTGGTACCACGCAAAAAACGGCATCGAATAGCAAAAATTCAGCTTCGTTCAATGAACAAATAGCCAACAGATTAGATTGTTGGAAGTGTAAAAGCCAAAAGAAAAGAAAACTGCTGAGAAACTTTTGAACAATTGATTTTCAAGAAATGTTTATGATTGCCATTTTTCTCTTGAAGTTATCCCATTTTTTGAACCTAAAGTCCTTCATTTTTCACTTTTCTCGTGGCCTTTACACTTTGGGTGTTCGAGAGTGGAGTTTGGCGTCCTTTTAATAAAGGAATGAACTCAAAAATAAAACGGCGAGAAATCGAATTTAAGCGAGTAATAATTTTAAGTCTAATTCCCTGAAAAAATGTACACGACCTATATAATTGACAACTCTTAATAACTCAGTCTGGAATATTGAAATTCGAGAAACAAACTATCCTAAAACAGATCCGCTGCGAATCGCAGAAACCACAATTAATACATCTTTACTAAATTCAGCTGTGACTTCCAATTTAACGCCGCTGGGAAACTTAATCCAGATGGTAATCACAGGGTTTTATAGACCCGGAAGCAACTGACAAGTCCTCGAAACCAAACATTAATACCTTCATAGATGGTAGCTGAGATCATTTTCCCTTGTTCCATGTCACCATTTTGCTGAAGCTCAAAGTAAACGTTGTCCAAAGTCTTTCCAATATTAGGCATTTGTAGTTACATAAAAAACGTACACTTAATTTTTGATAATTTTGTTCAATAAGGACCACATAAAAGTAACTAATTGCCGTAAAAAAGCAATGAAACAAAAATTTTCGTTTGCTACGAACGTTCTTTTTCAAAAAGTAACTACGTTTGAATGCAGTCTATGTTGTTTTGGTTTCAGTTCACGTCTACTTCAACCTGCACATGTACATTGTAGAAAATACTAGCACCTGTTCGGTACAAATTTTACATTGCCAAACACACTTTGAAACTAAAATTAGTCTCACGTAATCTTAAATTTAGATCCACGACATTTATTGTTTGTAAGTCAAACAGTAATATCACACTCTTCGCCGTACGAGCAGCAAAATTCCCAATGAAAATACGACAACG